ATTTATAACTAGGCCAGCTGGGCATTTATAGAGGGAGTCAGTTATGCTATTAGTAGAGTATAAGAAGGGGCTTTGGGGGATGGGGGTGGTATGTTTTTCTTTGAGTAAAGAATATTGTGAGTGTTTGGGAGAGCCGGCGGTCTCTCGAAGAACCGACCAACTGTTAATGTTTTCTGTTGAATGAATACTAGTCTCTTTTGTTGATGTTCGAGTGTGTGAATGCTGCTGTAAGTCTGTGAACTGCGTGTCAAGTTTCTGGGTCATATCAGTGGTATCAGAGCTCGTCTTTCCTCGGCCATGGTGACAGCTAAGGAAGTGACATTGCAGGTGGAGGGTTTCGAAGAACGCTTGACTTCTCTGCATTCTGAAGTGTATGGCTTACGCGATGAGATAACAACTGGCCTAGTTATAAATGCCCCAAAACTCTTCTTATTCATAACTGACATAGCTATAAATGCCCCAAGACTCTCCTTATTCCCTCCAGCTGATTGTTGACCTTTCCTCTTCCTGGCATTAATTGGACTTTCGAAGATCACATCCCTGGAAGGAGACGTTCAAGACTTGGTAAGACGTTTTGATCTATTGCTTCAGCAACAGACCTTGCCAGCTCCTTTGTCTACAATGGACATTGCTCCTCCTGTAGCCGCATCAAGTCGTGCGGCTGATAAAGGGAAGAGTGCAGCTTTCCCGACGTCTCCTTCAGTGTCAGTCCCGGAACATACTTCTGATTCACTTCCTCGGAAGTTGGAGTTACCTATTTTTGATGGGGAAAATCTAGATGGCTGGCTTTTTCGTGCAGAGTGCTATTTTGAGATTAATGGCTTGCTTCCAGCGGAGCATCTGCGAGCTGCAGTTGTCTGTTTAGAGGGTGATGCATTGGCGTGGTATTACTGGGAATATGGTTGGCGACCTTTTCGTGGTTGGACAGAATTCAAAGAGATCCTCCTTGAACGTTTTCGATCGACTCAAGAGGGTAATTTACAGGAGCCGCTCTTCTCGTTACATCAGTCTTCTACTGTTAAGGAATATCGTCGCCAATTCGAGGTGCTCTCCGCTCCCTTACGTGACCTACCGGAATCAGTCCTTGAAGAAGCATTTGTTAATGGGTTGCACGACCCTTTCCTGAAAGGTGCCATGAAGCGGGGTGACTGGTATAGAAATAAAGACTTGGTACTTAAGGGCTCTGATTGGATTGTCAATGAAATGAAGAAATCTGGTCTTTGAG